CCAGGGCAATAGTCAGCAGTTTTCAAGTGACCCGTTACAGTTTTGTGACCAGAGGAACGCAGACTGTGGCAGAGACGTACTGGCCAGGGTTCACACCGAGAGGGGAGACGGCTTCTTGCCTGAAATACGCACCATGCCGATCGGCAGAGCTGCTGAGACCCCGTCCAGTTCCACACAGGCCGCAGGAGAACTCGGCACTTGATTTCCTTGCCTGCGGCACAAAGGTTATTGAATAGTCACAGAAGATTCTCGTCTGTACCCAGAAATGTGCACGCTGCACGGCATGACTGGTAGCTCAGTGCTGGCCGGCATGGAGGAGTGTTTTTCAGACCCAGTATTCCAGGTGAAGTCTAGCAAGAGAGGACTGCAGTTTTCTGGCGAATGGAGACATCTCTAGGGATAGTACAGAAACGTATGCACGAGACTTTTGGCAGTGGGGGGTGATTTGCATAAAGCTTTATTGGTTTTCCAAAGTACACTTCTGGCGAATGGCTCTCCTCCGCCTCGGTGGTGTATGAGAAGAAGGGTGAGGGCTAATTGACAAGTCGCTGATAACCTGCTGAAATCTTATCAACCATATAGAAGATGAAAGAAAATCAGAAGTGGAAGCAGGACCATTATGTTACCAAAAGACCATTCGAACAGCCAGACGGGGTCAGACCAAGGCCCATTCAGCCCCGTGTCCCGTCTGCCCACAGAGGCCAATGCAAAGTGCCCAGAGGGAGCGAACAGAACAGCAAATCACCAAGTGATCCCACTCGTCACTCATTCCCAGCCTCTGACAGACAGAGGCCAGGAAACCCTCCCTGCCCTGCCTGGCTAATCGCCATCGATGGGCCTAACCGCCATGAATTTATCCAGCTCTTTTTTGAACCCTTGTCAAGTCCTGAGACAGATTCCGAAATCATTGAGGGAGATTCAACATCCTGAACACTGCAGAGAGACTCGCTAACCTGCCTGGGAAAGGGGTGTCTGAGGAAAGTGAGTGTAAGGACTCACTCCAGAGGGACCTCGCCTCCCTGGCTAACGGGCTGCGGGGTTTGTGGAAGTGCCCTGCATGAGTTGAGGAGGTAATGCATGTAGGGCTAGAGAGCTAGAGGATTCCATATAAGCATACGGGAGCTCATTGGATTTGTAGGCGGGAAGAGGTAGAGCTGTGTCTGTACAGGAATATAATTGAGAGACGCTCCCCACAGTATTATGAACACAGGAGTTTTGAGCTGGGCCCTGGAGGCTAGAGGCGAGAACACAATGTAGCCGTGTACAGCGCTTTCCCAAAGACGTTCTCTAGGTCACTGGTTTCCTGTTTAATGAACCCCAAGATCCCTGCCATAACTCTGTGAGGGTATGTCTACACTACCCCGCTAGTTCGAACTAGCGGGGTAGTGTAGACATACCCCCAGAGACAGCATGGACTAAGTCAAGAGACACACGCTGCTTCTTGTGCACAGAAGAGTTAATCTCTGTCTGGACGACAGTGTGAAGAGGAGAAGCTATAAATGCGGGAAGCTGTGGGCCTGAC